GAGGACTATTAGGAGATGAGGCGACGAGGGTGGCCAGCCAGGGTCTAGATCAGAGCCGCCTTCTGGGTCATGGGGTAGCAAACTTCTGGAAGATTCTGGTAGGAAGTGACTTGATCTGACTTTTGGTGTATTAGTTTTCTGTTGTTGCATAACAATATTACCACAGAGTTAGCAACTTAAAACATAACACACATTTCATTTTCTCACAGTTTACGTGGGTCAGGAGTCCAGGCAAAGTGCTCTAGGTAGGGTCTCCCAGGGCCACAGTCAAGGTGTAGACCAGGGCTGGGTTCTCTCTTGACTTGACTAGGGAAGGATCCCCTTCCCTGCTTGCGTGGCCGCTGGCAGCACTCCATGCTTAGTAGGTCTGAGAGCTTCGGGGTGTTTGGGTTGTGGGGTGCTGCTTCTTGCTGTTGGCCGGGAGCTGCGCTCAGCTTCTAGAGCCCGCCACAGTTCCTCGCCACGTGGGCTCCCAGCGTGACCACTCGTTTCCTCACAGTCAACAGTGGAGGCACTGCAGCCAGACAGACTCTAAAGTCTTACGTAATAAACACACATAATCACATCGTCCCGCCACCTTTGCCGTGTTCTGTTGGTTAGAAGCGAATCACAGGGCCCGCCATGCTCGGAGGGCTCACACAGTGGCATGGACACGGGAAGGCAGGGATCACAGCGGCCACCTTGAGAGTCTGTCTGCACACTCGGGTCTCCAAAGGATAACTTTGGCCATAGCATGGAGAATTTAGGATAAGGGAGAAGGAGTGATAAAAAGAGGAGACCGTTGGAGTAGTCCAGGAGACAGGTGGCAGTGGTAGTGCGGGACCCCTAGGGATGTAAATTGAGGCAGCAGAGAAGTGGTTGGGGCTCTGATGTTTTGAAGGCAGAACCAACAGGACATGCTGATCATTGGACACGTGGTTGGGTTGCTGGCCAAAGGCCAGTTACATTTAAATGTCATTATATAATGGGAAAATTTTTATATTACTTTTTTTTTAAGGCAGGGTCTCACTCTGTCATCTAGGCAGTGGCATCATCAGAGCTCACTACAGCTTTGAACTCCGGGCCTCAAGCGATCCTCCTGCCCCAGCCTCCCAAAGTGTTGGGATTACAGGCATGAGCCACTGCACCCAGACCACACATAAAAACCTTACCTATGATTTCAGAGAAATTTATGGGCCCATCCTGAAATCCATCCAGTTTAATATGGTGGTCTTAACACCTTTTAATAGTTGTAGTTATTCTAAAATGTATTCTAAGATAATTTTTTATTAAGCTAATGATATAATCGAGAGAAAATACAATCTGGATTTTTCTGCCCTTTAGCACTGATTGCTAATATAAGACAATCCATCTTTTACAAAATAGCTAAAAATATATGGTCATTGAAAAGAATAATTAGGCCGGGCGTGGTGGCTCACTCTGGGAGGCCGAGGCGGGTGGATTGCTTGAGGTCAGGAGTTCGAAACCAGCCTGAGCAAGAGCAAGACCCCATCTCTACTAAAAATAGAAAAATTAGCTGGGCATGGCAGCATGCACCTGTAGTCCCAGCTATTCAAGAGGCTGAGGCAGGAAGATCACTTGAGCCCAGGAGTTTGAGGCTGCAGTGAGCTGTGATGATACTACTGCACTCTACCCAGGGCGACAAAGTGAGACTCTTGTCTCAGAGAAAAAAAGGAAATTGAACCGCCTTTCTCACTCCCCCCCTTCATTAAAAAAAAAAGAAATTTCTTTTAAAAAGTATTAAATATTTAACTACAGCCTTTTTGCTACAGTCTTTAAGGACAGATTTGTAGCATTTTTAAAGTTCTTGAATTTGTTATTTTTTTCACAAGTGAATTCACACTTAATGGTTTTAAGTATATTAAGCAACTCTTTGAGGCTAAAGACTTGTAACTTTTAGGGAATCTGAAACATTTCGATCTTTATTCAAATGGTATCGAGTTCATGAGACCTGCACTCCTCATATCTGATATCAGCACTTTAATTTTTTTATATTCACACATTTTCATAGAATAGCAAATATAAACCATAATAAATCATTATCAAGCTTTTACAGTAATAGAATCATTTCTTTGAATGAAATTTTATCTTGAATCCCAATCCGTGAAAAAAGATAAAGTTCATTTGGTAAAATTTTACTCTGTACATTTTCGTTAAAGAAAATTTGCCCTGAAGTAGTAAAGGACAGTAACAGTAGGTGGCGGTGCGGCCAAGAGGGCCTCCTGCTCTGCCTTTGATGTCCCCTCCCTGTGCAGGGTGCTGTAGCAGCGCGTGTCAAGGTACTGACTGGGCAGCGAAAGCCGGCCGAGGCTTTTAACCTCAGCGTGCACAGTACACACCACGTGCACGACGCCCTCTGCCCTAGGGGGAAAGTCGGACGGGAAGCGTGCGTAGAGAAAATTGGCTGTCGATGGCGCTGCAGGTTATAGAGGAATCGTTTTTCTTCCTCTAACATAATTCTTTGTCACAGCTTATACAGCACATAGAAATGGGCGAGAAGAAAAGCCAGAGGTCCGCTTCTGTGGCGCCCACTCCGCAGTTGAAACGAGGCTGGTGTTCCTCACTGACCTCACTCAGCACGCCGCCAAGGGGAGTCTTCTCATTTCACCCACTAATTGCTTTTCTCTTATCATAGAAGCAATAATCTATTTTTACCAATAGAAAAAGATTAAATATTTTTAAGAGCACTGACTTATGTTCTTAATGATATACCAAAATCTGAAAATATGATGGAGTACTTCATTTTGGATTACCGATATTTACTGTCGACGGTTCTGTGACACTAAGAGCTGGTGAGAAAGCCTAATGAAAATTTGTGGCGGGGGAGAGGAGAATGAGACAGAAATCTGGTAAAATAAGCCAGTACATGTTTGTTTCCCAAGACGTTATTTCCTCTAGAGTGTGTTATTAAGACTGGTAAGTCCTTATAGATAAGGTGCCATCCTAGATTGAATCAGTGATGCTTTTGAGGTGAAAAAAGTTAATGATTCTGTCATTATAAACACAAAATGTTGACTGTACAGTATTTACTCTTATTTTAAAAAGTGCTTATCCCTGCATACCTATTAGAACAGCTAAAATGAAAAATACGCCAGGTACGGTAGCTCATATCTGTAATCCCAGCACTCTGGGAGGCTGAGGTGGGAGGATCGCTGAGGCCAGGTGTTTGAGACCACCCTGGGCAACACAGCGAGACCTCATCTCTACAAAAAAATTTTAAAAACATTAGCTGGGCATGGTATGGTGTTCTCTTGTAGACTTAGCTAGTCAGGAGGCTGAGACAGAAGTATCCCTTGAGGCCAGGAGTTCAAAGTTACAGTGAGTTATGATTGTGTCACTGCCTTCTAGCTTGGGCTGTAGAGCAAGACCCTGTCTCTAAAAATAAAGTAATTAATTAAATTAAATGAAAAATAGTGGCAGTACCCAATGCTGGCAAGAACGTGGAGAAACTGGATCTCTTATGCGTTGCTGGTGGGAATGTAAAATGCTATAGCCCCTCTGGACATTAGCTGAGCTATTTCTTTAATAAGTAAACATACAGGCCGGGCGCAGTGGCTCACGCCTGTAATCCTAGCACTCTGGGAGGCCGAGGCGGGTGGATTGCTCAAGGTCAGGAGTTCGAAACCAGCCTGAGCGAGACCCTGCCTCTACTAAAAATATAAAGAAACTAATTGACCAACTAAAATATATATAGAGAGAAAATTAGCCGGGCATGGTGGCGCATGCCTGTAGTCCCAGCTACTCGGGAGCCTGAGGCAGGAGGATCACTTGAGCCCAGGAGCTTGAAGTTGCTGTGAGCTAGGCTGATGCCACGGCACTCACTCTAGCCTGGGCAACAACGTGAGACTCTGTCTCAAAAAAATAAGCAAATAAATAAGTAAGTAAACATACACTGACCATATGGTGGAGCAAATCACACTCCTGGCCATTTATCCAAAAAAATGAAAACCTTTGTCCATGTAAAAACTTTTACCAGAACATTCATGGCAGCTTTATTTGTAATAGGCAAAATCTGGAAACAATCCAAATATTCTTCAGTGGGTGAATGGTTAAACAAACTGCAGCACATCCATGCTGTGCAATACTACTCAGAAATTTAAAAAGAATGAAGTGTTGATGTATGCAACAATTTTGATGGATCTCAAGGGAATTAGCCTGAGCTTTTTTTTAAAAAAAAGATAATATCAAAGGGTTCTGAATAATGCTATTTATAGAGCATTCTTGACATGACAAAATTAAGAGATGGAGAACAGAGTAGTGGTTGCGGGGGTTAGGATGGGATGGGGTAGGGGAGGAATGGAAGACTGATGTGATCAGAAAGGAATATCACAAGGAATATCACAAACTGTGCAGTAACAGTTCTGCATCCTGAGTGTGGCGGTGGTCAGCAATTCTGCAGCTGAAATATTGAATAGAAAGATATCCACAGACAAACGAGTGCGCGTAAAATTGGTGATATCTGAATAAGGTCTATGGATTATGCCAATGGCAGTTTTCTGGTTTTGATACTGTATTTATGTAAGATGCTACTACTGGAGGAAACTAAGTGAAGGTTACCAAAATTTCCCTTTACTATTTGTGCAGCTTCCTGTGAATATCAATAATTACTTCAAAATAAAAACTTTAAAAACAAAAGCAGGTTATTTGTTTCAAATTCAGGTCTTTTCTGGGTCTTACCCCAAACTCCCACAGCTACAGACCAGTGAGTGTGTTACATTAATAACACAGCTTCAAAGGCTTCCCCGCCCATCCCAGCGGTGTCCCTTGTGGCGTCACCTGGACTGTAGACGTAGTGCTGTCAGTAAGAAAAGGCAAGAGACCGTCACTCTTCGAGGCACTTGCACAAGGAAAATAGTGCCTGCTACACGTCCAATCATTTATTGCTGGGGTTGAAGTTATATTTTCAGTATTCATTTTAGTTAATTATCTTGGATTATATATGTGTTGTTAAGAAATGCTTTTTAATATAGCACAGTTACATATTGCCTGTTTCTCTGCAGGGTGAATTTGTAAACGAATATGTTGGTGAATTAATTGATGAAGAAGAATGCAGATTGCGAATCAAGCGAGCCAACGAGAACAGTGTAACTAATTTTTATATGTTAACTGTTACCAAGGTAAAATTGCTTTTTTTTTTGGTAAGAAAAAGGAATTTTCTGTTTCTGTTTCATAATCCTAGGTTGAACGCAGTGTCTTTTGGCTTTTTTTTCTAGGCAAGTTATAATGATTTGCAGTAGCCAGTGGGCTTATGCACTGTAATATGCTAATTATGCCAGAGTACAGAGTGCTTATGGAAGCCTTGCACATGTCCTGTGAGGCAGCGCTGTGATCGAGAATGGAACCAGGAGTAGGCTTAGCCTGTCGGGACTTTAGTCCCAGCAAGGCCTGGGCCTCAGTGTCCATTACTGAAGAAGAGTGTCGGCTCTGCGGTTCTAAGTTATAAAGTTCTGACTTAGCAAAAACTCTAAACTATTCTGTAGAGTGAAATTTTTTTTTTTGTAAGTTAGGAAAATAATGCGTGCTGCCATGACAAAAATGACAGTAAAACTGCTGGCTTAATCCATGCATTTGTAAGACCTATTTGACGCCCATTACTTCCGTTAGCTCATTTAATTTCCTCAGCACTTCTCTGATGTACAGAGGACAAGAAACCGGTGTCTGGCCACAAGTGATTTGTTGAACATCTTGTTACGGTTTTAAGAGCCAATCCAAGGATCTAAGATTGGAAAAAAAAAGTTTTCAGAGCCAAGACTAGTACCTAAGTTTCCTGTGTTTTAAGCTATCTCTAAAACTAAGATTCAGAATATCATTAAAGTAAGAAATAGAGATCATTTAAAAGAAGTATTTTAACTGATGTGTCATTGTTTAACAGTTTTACAACTTTCATAAACATAAATTAAAGTGTCATTTTTATGATTGTGGGAGTCTTGCTCCTCCACCCCCATCCTCGCTGCCGGAGGCCCCTCCGGCCACCCCGACCACACTCAGGAGGCTCGGTGCGCTGGAGCGTGTCCAGATTATCAGAGTTCAAATTCAGCGGCCTAAATCTTCAGCTTTGTATACTGCATTTTGAACTGTAATATAAGCAAAAAGAGAGCAAATAGATTACTACTAGAGAATGTATCTCATACAATAACCCTCCCATCAAGCATATCTCCAAATCTTCACTTCAGAGAAGTTTCTCATCTTCCCATCTTCCCTCTTTATGGCCTAAGCTCTCATCTGTCCACCCCATACTAGTTTTGCTTCCTACTTAGAGCAGGAAAGGAGGCGTGAGAGCAAAACACTAGAGTAGTTATCTGAACTTTGAGCTCTCTAATCAGAAAATGCCATTCCTAAACCCATGGCCCACTAATGTTCTAGTTTGCGTCATTCTATGGTCTGTTTCTACAAGCAAACTTACAGAAACTAAATTCCACTTCATCCTAATTACTTTGACTTGCAGTTTATCCAATAAAGTAGAGAACTTGTTAAATTGCCCAGGGAGCGTCACGATTTCAGAGTTGTCAGTTGTCAAGCCTCAGCTGGTGGCCAAGTGCTGCTGCCTTGTGGTCTTTGACTGAGTTGGGTGTATAGAGGTGTATACTTAGCTTTGTGTAAAATGCACCTTCTTTTCCTTTCTGAAGGACCGTATCATTGATGCTGGCCCAAAAGGAAATTATTCTCGCTTTATGAACCACAGTTGTAATCCAAACTGTGAAACACAGAAGTGGACAGTGAATGGAGATGTTCGAGTTGGACTTTTTGCTCTTTGTGACATTCCTGCAGGTAAAGAAGTAACTTGCTCTTCATGATCCCCTCCCTGGGAAGAAAGTGTGTCCTTTGGAGGCAGGACATTACTCTTCAGGCTTGATGCCCAAGTACTTATTCCAGTATGAGAAAGTGTTAAGTTTAGAATTGAGTGTTATCTGCCAATAAGAGGGAGAAATCTATATCCTCAAAAAGGAATTTGGCAAGAGCCTTTATATAAGAGGGGGTGTTATAGAATTCTGTGTGGATGTAGTTCTACTCAATTAATTCTCCAAATTATTGCTGTTTGTACAATGTAGACAGATGTTGTTTTCTTTTTAAAACATTTTTAAAGTGATTAGCTTGTGTTAACATCAACTGATTTCTTGGTTTTTGGTTTTTTTTACTTTGTAAAATCATTCTGTTTCAAATTAGACATAAAAGTCTCTGAAGCCAGAGCTATTGTTTTGTTTTGTTTTCTTTTCTTTTCTTTTTTCCTCTCCTCTCCTCTCCCCTCTCCCTACTCTCCCTCCCCTCCTCTCCTCTCTTCTCCCCTCCCTCTCCCTCCCTCCTCCCTCCCTCCTCTCCCTCCTTCCTCCTTCTCTTCTCTTTTTGACAGAGTCTTGCTTTGTTGCCCAGGCTAGAGTGAGTGCCATGGCGTCAGCCTAGCTCACAGCAACCTCAATCTCTGGGCTCAAGTGATCCCTGCCTCCAGCCTCGAGTAGCTGGGTCTACAGGCATGCGCCACCATGCCTGGCTAATTTTTTCTATATATATTAGTTGGCCAGTTAATTTCTTTCTATTTATAGTAGAGACAGGGTCTCACTCTTGCTCAGGCTGGTTTTGAACTCCTGACCTCGAGCAATCCGCCTGCCTCAGCCTCCCAGATTGCTAGGATCACAGGCGTGAGCCACCGCGCCCGGCCCATCTAGCATCTTTTTTTTTTTTTTGGAGACAGAGTCTTGCTTTGTTGCCCAGGCTAGAGTGAGTGCTGTGACGTCAGCCTCGCTCACAGCAACCTCAAACTCCTGGGCTCAAGCAATCCCCCTGCCTCAGCCTCCCAAGTAGCTGGGACTACAGGCATGTGCCACCATGCGCGGGCTAATTTTTTCTATATATTAGTTGGCAATTAATTCTTTCTATTTATAGTAAAGACGGGGTCTCACTCTTGCTCAGGCTGGTTTCGAACTCCTGAGCTCAAACGATCCACCCACCTCGGTCTCCCAGAGTGCTAGGATCACAGGCATGAGCACCGGGCCCGGCCCATCTAGCATCTTAATAGCAAAAGTCTCTTCTTTGTTAAGTTTGTAGAAAAATGGGTGAAAAGAAAAATGCTATACCTAAAACAGATTTAAACTATGTTTTTCAAGCCCAGCTAGAGGAAAGTGTAGGAGGCCTTAGTTTGAATCTCTGGATCTTTGGTATATATAGTAAGCCTTCGTTTTGAACTTTTATTTGATCATAATATAAGGCATTAATTACTGAAATAGTATTGTCATAATTCCACAGTCATATTGTTCATTGAGAAGCTAGTGTGAATTAGCTTTAGAAAAGAGGGCTAACCTACAACCTGTTTTTCTTGAGCATAGATTGCAGACTCTTAGTCCCTACCACATTGTTTTTGACCACTTCTGTGAAAAGGATATGAATTCTTTTTAGGGTACGTAGTGTTACTGTAATTATTGGTGGATGGGAATGTTTTCCTTCAGTTTTTCTCCTCTTTTTTCTTTTTTACCATCACTGTTTTTAATGAGGTGGAACATGGGAAAGGGAAATATCTTCATGTTAGAATTATGTCTCTTTTTTCATTATGACAGTGTGTCTGTGGCAGCGTTTCTCTTACCCATGACTTAAGCATGAATATTTGTTTCTCTCCTGTTTCAGGCATGGAGTTGACATTTAATTATAACCTGGACTGTCTGGGCAATGGCAGAACAGAGTGCCACTGCGGGGCAGATAACTGCAGTGGTTTTCTAGGAGTGCGGCCAAAGGTCAGTTGTGCAAGTGCCCCCTGCTGACAGGAGATGAGGAGCGGGGCTGTCCTGTGGAAGAAGTTTGTTTGTGACCATCTCGGGAAGGTGCTGGCCAGTGGGCCCCTGGCTTAGCCTGTGGTCACCAGCTGCATTCACCAGGAGTTTGGGCTCTGACCATCCTGGGAAGCCTATTTCAGTGAGGACTGTTAGGTTCTAAAAATGCATTTGTATTTCAGACTGTGAATTTGCCATTAGCAAAATCCAAATTAAAGCCTATTTCAAAATCCACAATATACTAAAATCCACTAAATTATATACTTTAAAGTGGTGAATTTTGTTGTATGTGAATTATATCTCAATGAAAAAATTCAGCAGGCCCTGTCTGAACATTAAAATGGGTTAAAGTTGCTTGGATTTACCACCACCCTTGCAATTTAAAAAAAAAAAGTGCCCTATTCAAAAGCCAGTGAAAACAAAGACTTTTGTTAGCGTGTCGTTACTGGCTAAGTCCTTCCAGTGTTTTTAAGCATGAATTCAAATGAAGGCGAGGTTGTAGGGACTGCCCCCCGTGTGGGCTTTGCACACTGTCATCTCTGACACTGTCACCCTTCCTTCCTGCCAGTCGGCGTGTGCGTCAACAGCTGAAGAGAAGGCAAAAAATGCTAAGTTAAAGCAGAAGAGACGAAAAATCAAAACAGAACCAAAGCATATGCATGAAGATCACTGTTTTCGATGTGGAGATGGTGGAGAGCTGGTCATGTGTGACAAAAACGACTGTCCCAAAGCGTACCACCTCTTATGCCTTAACCTGACGCAGCCACCGTACGGTAAGCTAGGCCTGCAGAGCCCTCCCTCTGATTTGTGTCTTTGCCAACTACGTGTGACTCAGAATGTATTCCACCCTCCTTAGAGGAGCCGCGGAACAGGAAACGTTGAATAGAACAAATAACAATAGCAAACAAATATTATGCTAGTGAAAAAGCTGTCTCCTTACACATCTGAACACCCTGTGGGCCAGCAAGGATGGATTTCTTATTCATTGTTATGTGACCACAGGTGGGTAGTTGGCACCTATGGCACTGGGTTTAGCTAGTAGCTCACATCCACACTAAATAACACACCGCATCTATATTTGGCTGAAATGTGGAGTTGTACTCAGTTTAATTCCGTCTCCAATCGGAGATGAAGGTGGGAACTTGGGGTTTTCGTGGGTAATTAAGACAGGCACTAACTTGGGCACTCTCCTCCTCCCCCCTGCATTAGGAAAGTGGGAATGCCCGTGGCATCAGTGTGACCAGTGCGGCAGCGCAGCGGCCTCCTTCTGTGAGTTCTGTCCACACTCGTTCTGTAAAGACCACGAAAAGGGGGCTCTGGTTCCTTCTGCACTGGAGGGCCGTCTCTGCTGCTCTGAACATGACCCCCTATCGCCTGTGTCACCAGAATACTGGAGCAAGATAAAATGTAAATGGGAATCACAGGATCATGGAGAAGAAGTAAAAGAATAAATGGGCGGTGTCCCCCCCTTTCTATTTAAATGAAAACAAATAGAGAATGCATTTAAAAAGAAGAGACTTCTACAGTGCATACAGCCTTTGCCATCAGAACTGCCTTACTAAAGCGAAAATGGGAAACCAGTTCATGCAGGCAGAAGCAGTTGGTGGTGTCTGGTTTTTCTGTTTTGTTGACTTAGGGATTCTTTTGTGGAGGGTCACATTCCCTTGATCTTTTCTTGCCTTTTATTGTGCTTCAATGCCTTTGCATCTGGGAAAAGAGAGATCTTCGCTTTTAAAATAAGAACAAAGAAAAAAGAAAGTTTTGTTAATGAGATAAATTTAAAGTCTAAGATGTGTTCCTTGGTTGTACAAAGCAAAAGAAACCATCATTCCTTTATTTATTTTCATTTTTAGGAATTTCGAGAAGTATAGTTGAAATAGTCTAATCAGTGTATGTGTGTGTGTTTTAAGTAGGAATCAGAGAAAGCCCTCTTAGAAAAGGGTATGATAATCTTTATATACCTCTTTGCTGAGCAGTAGGTAGGCTGACTTCTCTTCCCCTTCAAAATGCTTTTCATAGTCTTAGAGAAGCGCTCTATGGAAGTATTAAATCTGGCCTCTTGAAAACAAATGCCTCGATGGATTTTACCTCTGTGGTCTTAAACTAGGTGGGCTTTGTAATATGGTAACTTTAGCCAGAAAGGTATATAATGTGTGTTTTTGTTTTGTAGAAAAAAAAAAAAAGAATGGATGTGCTCACTGATTTTTGAAATGTTTTCCATTGACAGGTTTTTTGATGAAGTGTGTTTATGTGGATGTGAAGGCATGTTGGAATGGTCATCCTGTTATCCTGACACACTGACAAAAGCAGCTAAAGGGAGATGAAAGGCACATACCAAAAGTTGGATCATAGAAGTACCATTTTCTGTCCAGTTTAATGTAGACTTTGGTCTGACTTGGAGAGAATTATGGGCATTTTATTTACCGTCTCTGTTTCCCTCTCCTAATCAAACATTTCCTGTGTCAGTTGACCATTCAATCATGTTTCTTGGTGAAACTACACAAATGAATTTGAATTGTATTTGAATAGATCTTTTGGGTTGAGTTCCTAATTTTGGGGGGTGAAAGTAGGACCATCCCCAAGTTATATGCAAACAATTTCTATTTAGTATTAATATTACCCATTACTTAAAATTGCTCCCATTGGGTAAGGGGAAGAACTTCTACTTTGACAGGGTACATAAGAGCCACACAAACACACTTCATCTTAGGAAGCACTTAGGGAAAACGCCCAAGAAAGTCAGTGTTAGCAAAAGTGGTTGACTGTGATGCTTGAATCTTACAGATACGAGTATACCAAGATGTCTGCTCACAAAACTCACTTGCTTTTAATGCTTAGGAATATGTATATTCCAGTATTCCTTGTATGAAATAATTAGTAATGTCAGACATTGTTGTAACACTGTACTAAGTAGAAGTCTAGGGTTAGCTTGAATGAACGTTAACTTCCTCTGTGAATTTTGACTGCTTACCATTGCTGGTACCTGGTAGCATTGATTTTCCCTCAAGAAGTACCTAGTAACCTTATGAAGGTAGGGAGGGCAGATGCTTTACTGCATTCCTTCAGTTGTATTATGTGTGTTCTGTTTTCTTATCAATTTAGAGCTCTTCTCTGGAAAGAAGAGAAAAAAAGTTGTTTTGTGCCTCTCCGTTTTTTGTATGTAAATGTGCAATTATACTGGATTTTCTCTTGTAAAAAACAAAACAAAACAAAAAAACCAACACTACAATTCTTTTACTTAAGCTCCTAAACTGCCATTTGCCTGATTGCAGCAATTAATTCTGAGGTGACTTATTGGGCTTCCAATAATTCTGTTGATTAGATATTGTCCCAAAAGAAAGAGCAAAATGGAAAATGCTATATACATGTTACCAAATGTAATTGCTATAAGTAACATGAAATACAGCTCACCAAAACACTAAACTTTGCTCTTGAGCAATTATATAGTTTAATTGTCCTTTTAAAAAATAATTTAAGAAAATCTAGGTTTTATCATACTAAAATTTTATTTTATATATATGATAAACATTTGGTTTTTTAAACTTATTAAGGATTTCCTTTAATATTCTAAATGCAACTCTTGTTGAAACAATATTCAACATGAAATCTTATCTCCTTGCTTTGTTTTAGATTTAGTGCTATTTAATATCTGATGACTTTTATATGGTAAGCCAGGGTACATCCTATGTACTGCACATACTTAGGTTTAAGTATTTTTCTGCAGCTTCTTCATTGTGTCACATTTTTTTTTTATACCTGTAACAGAGCTCTGCTGGGGTTGTTTAATCTTTTTTTTTTATGACTAGTATTATTGTTTCGCCATTTCAGAAAGCAGTGTAGGAAAAAATAGCTAACCATAGCTCTGAAGTCTTTGTCCATGAGTGTTCTTTAATGGTCTAAAAAGTGATTTTAGTCATGCCAGTGCCAAGGGGCTCTCGTCACACCTCCTTCGTGCCAATGTTCACCTATTTTATATATTTTAAGGATGCAGGTTGTAGAAATAGAAAAATGTGCTTCATGTATGCATAAGTGTACATGCATTGTGCTTGCCTATGCTACACCAATGAAATATTCTAAAAGACATATTGCTCATTCATAGTCTGAAGTTGGTATTTGTTAACTTTTAAATCTATATGTGGTCAGAGTGTAAGTAGTTGGCTTTTGTTGTTGTCCAAAAATGAAATAACTTAAAGCAGCATGGGACAATGATGGTATTTTTTAACCTCATGTAAATTGTTTGAAGGAAGAAGTGAATGTAAGATTTTTGATAATCAGCAGAAAGCTTCAGAAACTGGATCAGCGCGCTGGGAAACTCAGGCACTGTGCAGCCAGCGGGCAGGACCACTAGTGCTCTGAGGAGTCCGAGGCTGCCAGGCCGGCTGAGGAGGGAGGGTGGTGGCCCTTCATTCCTGGAATGCCGAAGCAGCTGGAGGCAGGGGATCGGGTCTTTAATGTCTAATCAGGGCTAGAGATAGGAGTGAGGTGGGTTTTATTTTCACTGTTGTTTTAACAAGTTCCTACTCTATCTTAATTCTGAAAAGTGAGCTGGCCTAAGCTGTAGAGAATAGGCTCAGTTCTGGAATCATTGAAACTCGGAGATTTGTGCATCTGTGTTTAAGTCAAGAACATATCTGAAAACTAACAGAATAAATAAAAAAATAATTGAGGGACTGAGGCTGCTCCCAGCTCCCGTCTGCCATTTCTGCATAGTGTTTGGAAACATGCCCAAAATAATGTGTGGGACTGAGATACTGAGTATGTAATCATGTACAGAACTCTCAATGGGACAAGCTGTTGGCCAGCTTTCCTGGTTCACAAAGTGGAGTTTCCTTTTTGAGTAGTTTCTTGCATGGTGTGTTCTAATCAGGGTCAAACCCAACAAACAGTTTGGAAGCAGTCCATCTAAACAGAATGTAGTCTCTGGACTGCCCAGGACTTGTTGCTTATCTTTCATTTCATTTCTAAATACAAAGCTCTTCCTTTAGCATTCACCTTAAAAATCAAGGCACTGCCTGCCACATGCCATGTCCTCTAACAGGATGAGAAAACAAGTTACCACGGAGTGCTCACAGCTTGGGAAGCTCACGTTGGATGTTCTTCTGTGTGAGGTGAGATGACATTGGAAAGTTGTCTTGTTGCTGGGCAGAGCAGATTAGACTTGAATCACTTTTTACAAGGCTGATGTATCCATCTAGCCACCGCCAAATTGTCCAAGTTGGTGTAGACATGTAGTAACCAAACAGAACAATTTCCTTCAGCCTAGGGCCACTTAGAATTGGTCTCTGCTTATTTGTAAACAAAAAGTGGAACTTTTTTCCATTTTTAGATGGACAAGGGAACAGATGCAATCAGACAGCTTGCAGTGAATTCACCAGTACTGAAAAGTTGAAAATGTATACGTTCTGAAATCTCACCAACTTTTACCTGGGGCGGGCTAGCGGGAGAAAAGGGGGTTCTAGGGTAGGGGAGGGGAACGGTAATGTTTACCACAGGTACGAAGTAGTCACTTTAACATTGAGACCTCTGCCTCATTGAATTCAGGTTTTTTAAGTACTTGAAACTCTTCAGATTCTCCTTATTTTACAGTTTCTTTTTAAATTTACAAAGTAGAAAGCATTGTTTTGTATACAGTTTCAAAAATAAATAGCCTAGTCTCTTATCCTCTTTAACTTGGAATAAAGGCGAAGTTCTGCAAATGGGAAAGAGTGTTCCCAGTAGCGATCTCAGATTTATTTTACACATTTGAGGAAGAGACTCCTGCATGAGATACCAGCAGCATTTTTATGAATACTTCCTATGTATGTTCTTTATTTTGTCAACCCTATCCCCAAGCACTTCTTTCCTTTTAATATATGTCTGTGTAGGAAAAAAAAAAAAATTGCACTTAACGTTACACTCCTGAAATGCTGTGCGTAGCCTGTGTCTTTCAAAAACTATTTCCGTTTTTGTTTTTCCGTCAGTCCATTGCATAAGCGACAAGTTTGGGTGCTTGTGGCGTATGGGTATGAAGGGGGAGGAGGAAAGAGAATTATCTTCAGTAGGCTGTAAAAGTTATTAACGTGTACGTAAAAAGGGAAAATAGAATAGTTGCCAAAGTCATTTATTCAGTCCTTGGTTTTCTTACATGACATTACCGCATCTGCTCATCAGTGAGAAAGCACCCTCAGCTTGTACCGCTCCCCTTCCCTGCCTGCCAGCAGACGCGGTATGTGCAGATGGCTCTCGAGTATCTGTCAGATTGCCTGCAAGGTATTTATAAGGTATTCTTGTCAGTATAGAAGTGGACTGGATAAAACATTTACTTTGTTGTCATTAATATTATTTTATCTCATTTGTTCTTGTTACATGCCCTATGTTAAGAAAATCATATTGCCACTAATAACCAAGATGCTAAATGATTATTACAACTGGCTAATAAGCATCATCTTTTTATATACAAGGGTGTGTGCATATTTGGAATTGATATGAAATTTATTTGTACCCATTTGAGTGATATTGCACAACAGATACCTACAGATTCCGTTTTCATTTCCTCGTGTTCTTTATGATAATGATCTTTGTAGGTTGGTTATTTCTGTACTTTGTTTATCTGTAATAAACTTTGTAGACCCTGTGAAATGTTATTTTGCCTAAATCACTTGAGACTTGAGTCTTTAATAACAAAGCATCATTATTCACTAAAGTCAATCTCTTTTGAGTTTCTGTGACTTGGCTAGCTCTTGACACTAAGGGATTAGTGTTGATTTTCCCTGGGGGTGTTCCACTAGGGCATTACTGTATAATGACTTGATGTTGCCACATAGACTTCAAGATATATATTTTGAGGATTTTGTTGATTTGCTTATGTTTTATTGCATAGTGTGAAACGCGTAAAGCTTGGTTAGCAACCTGTATATAGATAGTTTATTGTTGGCTAGTCATAGTGTATTTAGGATTGCCTGTAATATTTAAGCTTCTTACTGATGTGTGTGCTGGTAGGAACATAATTTTTGTATATTTACTGAGATATGTTACCTTTTTTATTTTACAAATACTTTGGAATTCAAATGTGTTTTTCTGCTTCCGTGAGGATTAATTTGGAAAGGTTTTTAATGACATTCCACTGATTTCAGACTTTGCTTGAGATTGACTTCAATAAATTGTCCTGTATGTCCCAAATTGAATGTGGGCTTTTTCTTCTTCGTAATTTTCCGCTGCAACTCTCTGGGCAGTAAGACTGGATCACAGGGTGTCTCCAATCTCGGCCTCAGAGCGCCGCCGCCCGCGAACAGATGTGGCTCCGAAAGTGTGTGTTTGCAGTGTTGGGGACTCGGGACAGTCCCCGCGCCCCGCGGGCCGTGCGGTCGGGGAGGGGCGGGGACAGCGAGCGCCCGTCGGGCCCAGGCCACCCGCGGGCACGCGCGCCGTCCGCCCTCCCCGCGCGCCTGCGGCCACGCCCTCCGGCGTCCCGCCCTCCGCCGCCGGCAAGCCCCGCGCCGCCGGGCACGCCCCTCCGCGCCGTCCCCCTCTCCGCGCCGCCTGCAGCCACGCCTCCCGCGCCGTCCCCGCCTCCGCCCCGCCCCCCCGACCGCTGCGCACGCCCCTCCCGCCGCGTCCCCGCCCTCCCGCGCAGCTGCGGCCACCCATCCACACAGTCCCGCCTCCCCGCGCGCCGGGCACGCCCCTCCCGCGCCGTCCCCGCCCCGCCGATGCAGCCCACGCCTCCCGCGCGTCCCGATTCCCGCCGTCCGCCGGCCACCCCTCCCCGCGCGCTGTGGCCAGCGCCCGCCCTCCCGCCCTCCCCGCGCGCTCTCCCGCTTCCCTGAGCGCCGCGGGCGTGGGCGGGGCGCGCGGGGACCGGCGGACGTCCGCGCCGTCGTTCCGCCCCGCCGTCGTTTCCCGCCCAGCGTCGCGGCGCTGCTGCGGAGGAGCCGTGGTTGCGAGCCGCACCGTGCGGGCGGTGTTCGTGCGGGAGGCCGCGGCGAACGAAGCCCCCCTCGGGAGCTGCCCGCTCCCCGTCCACGCGCCAAGATTTCCCCCGGTGTCCACACCCCCCAGACCGTGGTGCTAGCAGAGCGGGACGAGCCCCGTGCGCCCCTCCCGCGGACGGCTCGCGCCGCTTCCTACTCGGGCGTGCCCGGCGGCATCGCGCGTCCCTCCGCTGCCTCCGGCTTTCCTCAGGGAGCGGACAGCCACACAGCGCCAGCCTGCCCTGCGTGGGCCCTCGCCCCGGCGTGGTCTGTCTTTTTGGCTGGCGCTCAGGAAGTGGCTGGGGCTTCTGGAGCCCGATGGGCCACTGAGCTGTGCGTCGCGAAGTGTGTCCCTCCGTTCCCCACTCGTTACCATGCGAGGAGAAAAGGCGCACGAGAAACTAGGCCTTAAGCATGCCAAGCCGGGGTTTCTGTGGCCCAGCACTGCGGCTCCGCTGCGCCACAGAGTCCGCGATGACCCCAGCCTGCCTTCCCCCGCGGACTGCCCACAGCAGGGGCTCTGCTTTGCAGCTGGCTCTGAACGGTGCGCTTGCCAACACGACAAAGCTGACAGTAGGGAGGTGAGTGGCAGGGGCCAGCCGGGCCTGCCTCCGCCCCACCCCATCAGGAGAGGTGCGCAGTGGGACTGTCACACTTCCTTCTCATCCTCTGCTCCGTCACTCCAGGCTTTCTTTTCTCATTCCACACTTACTCCCTTCCTTGTACCTCAGTCCTGCAGGTGACACTTGGGCTCTTTTCCGCCCTGAACGGCCTTTCCCATCAACAACCACTCCCGTACAAATGCAGTCCTCGGAGCCCCGGGGATGTCAGGAAACAGGCCTTGCATCACCCCCTGAGCTCTGCACCCCCCCACACACACAGCCCCAACCCCGGAAAAACTGTCTTCCATGAAACCGGTCCCCGGTGCCCAAAAGGTTGGGGACTGCTGCTCCAGAACACCTCCTGAAGTTGCAGTGCAATTTACTGTTTGCCCTAAAAAGTAATCGTGTGCTAGAGTGGGTTGTTTCTCTCCAATTTAGATGTTGATCTTGGAAGTAAGGCATTTCTCTTAGTGTGGTCACTATCCTAATCCAGTCACATTTTTTGTCTGGGACCCTATTTGACCAACAGTTACTAGGATTATTGGTGTCTGCTACAACTGAGAAATAATTTCTGGAGTTGTGAATGATCTGTGTTCAAACCATGCCTATTTCTTCCAGGCCACGCCCAGATTTCTTCTACCGCTGCTTCCCTGATGGGCTAGCTCATTCCGACTTCACTGCACAGGGGATAAGCACGTGGTGCATGAAGGCAGAAAGAGCTTCCCTAGTGGACATTCTTCCTGTACGAGTATCATACACTCCACTTCTCTGCTTACTGTTTTTGCATCTCTGAATTTAACCTAGGAAGCTTGTAGGGATGGGAACATCTGACTATTCTTGTTCTTGTTTCTGGAAATTGGAAAACCCCTTTCTTTAACAACCCTACAATTTCACACGCCTGAGCCTTGCCTATTGAGTAAATATTAAGGGTGGCAAAGTAGTTTACCTTCATGAGGTTTGCATTATTTGCCTAGATCCTGCAATCTTGTAGTGGTAATAAAAATACTAACTTTATTGAAGAGTTACTACGTATCAGGTGCTTTAAAACATTTTCTTACCTCATTTATATCTTAGAATAGCCCAATGTGGTGGATACTATTATTTTTATGGTTCCCATTTATAGATGAGGAAACTAAAGCATCGAGAAGTCCTATAACTAGTATTCCAAAACTACTTTCAGATAAAATATTATCAACTTTGGGACATAGAGTCCGTTTTTCCTCTTGTTTCCTTTTCCCTCACAATCAATGATTTATGCCAGAAGTATACAAAAAAGGGATAAAATATGCTCATGCTCCCCGGCTGCCTATTTAGAGATGAGTGAAGTAGCTTTCCTTTGAAAGGCATGCACTAGTTACACATGTTTTCTATTCCAGTTGCATTTGCTGGTCTGGCCTTCGCTTCCTTCCGTGTGGCAGGGAAGTTACACCACAAGGCCCTGGGAAGTCTTGGAGGTTCTGTGCCTTTCTGTCACCTCTACTTCTTGCAGCTGTGACTGCACCGTCCCACACCTGTGACTGCAGGCATCACTGGCAAGATAAGCAAAGTAATCATGCCGTAGAAGCTTCCATATTTCACTCATCATTTTATCCCTAGCACCCGGTGCAGAGGAAATGCTTCCTAAATCTCTGCTGAATGAATGAACAAATGAATGAGTGTGGATGGTCTAGGTTCTACACTAAGAGTATGCATTTAAAGCTGTATGGAAGACAAAAATTAACCTTTTAAAGAGATTACCAAGAGGAATGTCCTAATTTTTCCATCATTTGAGGCATCATAAAAATTCAAATTAAACTGCATCTATAAGAAAACCTCAAAGCTCAATTTACTCTCAAAGTAAAAATCAAGTTCGTTGTCATAAGACTTCTGTTCAAACCCAGAAGTCAAATTCAATAAAACATTATAATTAAGCCAAAGAAATTTAAGGATATCTTCAACGAAAAGCCACGAGTCCAAAAAACGTTGGCAGTGCTGCCTGGAGATCCTCAGGAGGCCTATTTTAAAGAATAAACTAATTTTTGTGAAGAGAGGCAATTCCCGAAGAGAGGAGTGTATTCCTCCTTCTTGGACTCTTGAAATGGTGAAAACAGACGGATGAACAGCATCAAGTGAGCTTTTATTATTCTTCTGAATGAAAGTTCTAATTTAATTTATACTTCCTTAACTAAAGATGTGTTTTGATTTGGTGTTTAGAGAGCAATCTGACTAACTGTATGATCAAATTGAGAAAGCCTAAAGTAACCAGAAATCTGGAATGTAGGTTTTTCTTAGCTGTAACAAGTACTGTGGAGGGCCACGTGTTTTACACCATGTGGTATCTGACATGATCCAGGAGCCCAGTACGATTAAGGAAGACCCCACTTCGTCTCTCTGCAGATGTACTGGCCGGTGTCTGCTGCCGGCAGCACCGCCCTCCTCTGACTGACGCGTTGTGCCACAGAGCGCTTCAGGACACACCTGCACTTCCCACTGCACACAGGCTGCCTGGTGATTCGTGTTGCTTTGACATTTAACGACTGAATCCACCTCAGTGGAGAATAGGTGAATCAGCACTCTTAACGGGAACATGCACAAGACAAGACACTCTGGCCTTTTTGACCCTCCCAGGGTACAAGTGGAGACACAGGCACACCGTGTTCTGCCCCCACAGGAGCGTGCGGGGCTCGCCCTGCTCCCGCGGGGCTCCCGAGGAGCCGGGTTCCTTCCTCTGCGCGTGCCGCCCGTCCTGGTAACGGATCTCCAGCCGTCTTCTCACAGCTCAGGAGTCTGGCCCATCAGAGTGGTGTCCCAAGAGCTACAGCACGTTTACACTTAATTTAAATGCCATTCTTGGAAGGCTCTTGTCACAAAGAAGCCTTTACATACGATTTTATCCTACAAGCTAGAGTTATCAAAACTTAATTTCCATTTTCCATAGCTCAAAATCTTAAAATCTTATAGGGCATGACCAACTAAGTGACTTTCCATTTGGTTTACTTTGGGGACAATTCCATCAAGCCTTAAATAGGAAAATGTCCAATATGAGGTAATTTATCACTGTGATACATATCTGAGTCCAGCCATCTGGTACTGCTGTCCATTTTGGACACTGTGGACATAAACAATAAAGAAGAAAATGGTCATCCCCAACCGATGATTGCTTCTACCTCACATGTCCTTAACTGTGCTCTGAGCTTCTTTCCTTGCATTCGGACTGAATATCTACCCAAACATATCAGCTGTGCCAAATGACAGGCAGGAAAGAAAAATTACAGATACCATTATCTGAAGGACAAGTGAATCTTTTTCTGTCCCTTCTTCACAACGGGATATAAAGAACAATTCCGGATGTCCTCAGAACTGATGCTATAGGACCTAGAGCTAGCTACCTTTCTCTTCATGGTGATTAGACTTTAAATATGGCCTTGTCTTATGTATATCTTCCTATGACATATTTTCAATTTATCTTTTTCCTTTAGTAAACCTGAGATTCAAATAAAATGGTGAAAATGTGGGGTTTTTTGTATTAAAGTATCATTTAAAGGCTGGAACATAAAGTAAAACATTGGATTCCCCATCTGACATAGTTCTGTTATCCATAGTAGTGGC